CCCCCCCCCCCCCCGACCCCTGCCGTGAGTCAGGTTCTAGAATCACGGTCAGGGAGGGAGAAGGAAAACAATTACATCTGCCCATTCCCCACCCCACCCAGACCAAGTATCCCCACTTGGGGAACGGGGATAACCCTGGGGCTCGGGTCCCAGGAGCACCACCAGGAATATCCGTCCCACAGGAAGGAAACTGGTGGTGAAGGTCCAGCAGGACCAGACCTGTTCCCGCTGTTCCCGGCTGCCCTGCTCCGTTTCCACCTGCTGTCCAAGCAGCTCCCGGAGTTGCTCCTCCTCGCGCCGGGCAGCCACTCGCTCCCCAGCCAGCTCACCCCGCAGAAGGGCTACCTCCACCTCCATCTGTGGAGAGAATGCAAGGACTGGGGCCCAGAGGCCTGGGTCCGAGGACGGTGTGGAGGCGGGGCACTCGGACGCCTGGGAATCGGAGCTCTTGGATTCGGAGGGAGGATAGGACCGGAGGCCTAAGAATTGGATTCTGCAGGAGGAAAGGCCTGGCAGCCTGGCCTTGAGGGCTTCCCTGGAGCTGGGGCCAGACTTCCCACGAGGTCCGCGGCCTCACCTCGATCCTCAGCTCCTTCCTCTGGCGCTGTAGCTCCTTCACTCGCTGCTCCATCAGGGCCACGCGGGTCAGTGCCTCCAGCTGCTGCTCTCGAAGCCGCCGCGCGGCCCCTCGCACCTTCTCTCCAGGCTGGGTGGATGCGGGGGCCGTGGCTGGGATCTGTGCTGGGGGCGGAGCCTCCCCCTGAGGTTGAAGGGTGCGTGGTCAAGAGGGGAGGCCTCACCCCTCAGCCACCGGGTAGGTCCGTTCCCCACCGCATTCCCCGGACTGGGGGTCCTGATCAGCCCCAGTCAGTCGCCACGCCCGGTTATTCAAGTGGGGGAGGGTGTAGGTGCGGTGTCCCCCCACCTGGGAGGAGGCCCAGGGGCTGGCAATAGGGGAGGGGGTATGTGGCCGACTCAAAGAAGGTGCCTTTTTCCATACCCAGGTCCCATTCCCGGCGCTGCGTTTTCATAGACCCGGATCTCTCTCTGTCTCTCTGTCTC